AGTCTGTATCTATCAAGGAAGTTGAGTTATTGCAAAAACAAAAAGGGTCTTAAACTTTTGTGGAGCACTTTTACTGGTACCGGTACCGGTACTGGTGCATACCTACTGGCAAGTGATCTGTTCAGTCTCGTATGAAAGACTAAAGAATAGTAAACATTCTAATATTTCATTTCTACTTAGAAAACTGGAGAGTGACACTTTAACTCAATCTTTCTGTTCGAAGTGAAAAATTTAGTGTTTCCAGACTCACCACACAAGTTCTGTGTCGCTCGAAAACCCATAGATGCGACAGTTGTCAAAGTTCACATTGATATTTTCTATTTTGACAATATTACTGCAACCACTGGAAAATTTTTAGCTTTCAGTTACATATTCGCCGTATCCATTCTTTTTTGTCTTTTTAGAGTCAATGATAACAACGAATGAATTCACTCTACCGTTTGAAAAATTTAGCAAACTTTCTTTTGACACGGGTAGTAGTAATTCGTATGAATATGATGTTGAGAAGAACAATAAATGTACCTATTATTCAATCTTAAATTTAAAACAAGTAAATTCATTGTCTAATAATCATACGAAAAGGTTGATCATAAATCGAAACATACAAGAAACATTACCATCTAATTCTAGAATGTCATCAAATGATGATGTTTGTGTTATGAATGATAAAACAATGCCTGCTCTCTATGCATCATCAATAAATTCCGCATTATCTGTACCCGAATATTGTCAATCATCTGCAACACAAATAACCAAACAAAATAAGACTAATCAAACCATATCAACACTCGATCCTTCATCATTACCACCACTTCCCGTTTCTTCCTCATCCTCGAGATATCATCAACGTTCAAAGTTAACAAAATCATCATCATTTTCGTCAGTTCTTCCAACAGGATCATTAAATCGGCATTCTATAAATGAGAATGGTGTACGATATCATTATCATCAGCAACAACAACAACAACAACAACAACAACAACAACAGAAAAACGTAAACGATGGTTTTAAAAATAATAAATTACAATATTCTAAATATGATGGTAACGTAACAAATGATGATTCAATTCAAATGAGAGTTGTTCACATTAACGGAGAATTTGTCGTAAGAATTTAATGAACTGCGCTTATTTTATCATACTGTTTTGAACAATTTTCTTTTTCTATTGTTTATATTAATCGAGACAATTATAAATGAAATGAATTTATATCGAGTTCCTTTTTTTTTGCAGTCGTAGCTTAGAAAACTACGTTTTGTAGATTTTTTAAAACACGATGTTTTCTACTGGCCATTACATCGAGACTAACTAGTTGTACATAATATAAGATCCAAGCCGAGACTTTTCACAAAACCGATATAGACGGTGACGGAGATCCAAAAAACATCAGAAGGATTGTCATCAATATATTCAAGATTATCTGTATCCGAATGTTGTCAACCATCTGCTACACAAATAATCTCTGAGGACAAAATCGTAGAAAAAAAGAGATACAGTTTCGAACCCTTCTTATATCACGATAATCCCAATTATATAATATAGTGCGATACTACTGTATCACCATTTATCGCCATAGAATTTTCATCCCGATAGTTAGGAAGGTATTGCGATGAAACCGATATCTTGATAAAGTGCAATCTTTTTTGCATTGTAATATATTGATGGTACTTTTACTGATTACCATAATGTCTTATTCTCTGCTGGACTATATCATATCATGACACTTTCCATGATGCTTTAGCTCTCCGTTTGTTACTAGTTGTAGCACAATAATAAAGTGTAGCAGGATAGAGTAATAAAAATTTTTTGTATCAGAACGTGTTACAATACATTTAATGTTTATCACACTAACTTTTGTATTCGACCGTGTAGATTAGTCGTCACACAACGTATTTATCACGATAAGAAATGCTATCGCGACAAACATTCGAAATTTAAGTCAATACATGTTGAATAATCGACAGTTTATAAAAACTTTAAAAAAGTGAAATTTATGCAAACTTTCAACATATTGTGTACCCCTTTTAAGTAAAATACGTAAAAATTTAGGTTTAGCTTAGAGCAATTCCGATGTATTGTGTTCAATCCAGTATACTTTCTTTATTTCCACTGGTAATAGGTAATATGATCGTGGATAATATTGTTTTTAAAAATGAATATACACCTGAAGAACACAATAATTTACCTTCTTTTAAACTTGAATAAATGGTGATGTCCTCGACATAGTAGGTACATGAATATGTGAAATGTAAATTCATCCTTCAACGAGTGCCTTGGATATTTTTTCCTTGAACTGAAAAAAATGTAGAAGCTCTGTTTTCGTTATAATCAGTCTGTACATTCAACTCTATCGTATTCTTTTTGTTCATTGTTTCGAATAATGCTTGATTAACTATAAAATGAGTATTATGCAGAAGAAATTATAATTAGATGAGACTAACATTTGTACTTTGATGATTAAGAACAATGCCTCTGTCAAAGAGATCTGAAACAATAAAAAGTGTTTGATAGTGACATCTTCAAGGTGTCTATTTGTCAAGATTGTGGCTACTTAGCCTATCAATCAAATTTCATTTGGACTAACTTATTTTTGCGAGCTAAAAGAAAACTCCAATTAGTAGCTCCAAGGAGAAACTATGTGCTTCAAGTCGCATTGATTTCGATCCCTTGGAGCTACTATTTGGAGCCAAAGGGAAACAAGGAAAAGAGAAGACAGACATTATGATATGCTTTCCAATTTAACCAGACTTCTATCTACCTATCTTTTGAGTCGAATATCTTCAGCTTAATATTAAAAATTTTCGACATTATCTGAGTTTTTCTAAGTAGTCTTGCAAATTCGGTAGTGTGGTAGAAATTTCTTGAACTTGACTTTATTTTACAAACAAAGCTGACTTTACAAAAAAAAGAGCTGCTGTAGGAAAGCAGAAAAAAGTAAAAAACTTGTACTTATACACACTGCTACCTGAAGTTACACCACAAGAGAGAGAATACACGCTTATATCTATATATACAGTCTTACAGTAGAGGGTATAGGAACAGAACAAACCCACAGAAAACGCCTTAAATTTGGAAATGGTTTTTCAGCATCACTTTGAACTGACCTAGAGTACGTACCGCAATAACCGTTTCTGGTAAGACGTTCCAGTCGTCGGCAGTCTAGTAGAAAAAGCTGATGATACTCGTTTTTTTTTGTAAGAATCGGTGTCGCGACTACCTTCGCTGATTGCCCTTACGTGTTTTAAAACCGTACTTGCATTCAGACCAAAGGGGAAAAAGCATTTTGGAATGGCTTGGAATGGCCCATTCCGCTTTTTCCCTCTTGCTTCAGACGCTCTGTTCTACGATCCGTCGGTGATCCTATGAAAGACAGATCAAAAACTGGAAACGCAGATAGAAATGAACACGCAGACTTTGTAGAAATGAATCAAAATTTCAATGTTCCATACGTAACTGCCGGGATGATCGCGTTTTTTCAAATGTAAATGTCTTATTTTTGTCTCAGGAAAGACAAATTTTTTCACATAAAACAACGTTTTTATGTTTGTTGTTTAGATACAACGAAAAACTGTCAAGATTGTAACCTGTAATTTAAAACATGTCATCGAAACATTGTCTGAAGAAGCAGCGAGAATCTCGTCGCAATCGTTTAGCTATTTTTAAATCAACAAATGTTTGCTTGACAGATTTTGATCGAGGTAAAAAATATCCCTATTAGTTTCATCTAATTATAATTTGTGTATTATAATAATAATTTATTTTTATAGATAATCGAGCATTATTCGAAGCAGTGAACAATCAAGAATACGATAAAGGTGAGTGTAAAGGTGATTATAATAATAATGTATTACAATAATCCTACTTTCAGTTCTCGATTTATTACAGAAAGGCATTGATCCATGTATTGCTGATGAACATCAACGTACACCTATTCATATTGCATCGACAAAGAAAAATTCGGCAATAGGTAAGGTGAAATAAACAATAACGTTTTGTAATGAAACGTCATGTTTCTTTTTAGTCAAAATTTTAATTGATTTTGGTGCTGATATAGATGCACAAGATTCACTGTCAAATACACCGTTACATTTGGCATGTGTAACGGGACGATTAGATGTAGCATCTATATTATTAAAATCAGGTGCAAATGTATTTGCATTAGATAACAGTGGAATAACTCCAATGTCATTAGCTCTAAGTAGATTACAGATAATAATGAAAGATAGAGTGATTTCATCAAATACGGCCAAAGGAGAAATTATTCAGGTAAGATAATTTAAATTTAACATGAAAAAACTTTGTATTCAAAATCTTTATCTTTAACGTGCAAGAATGATTATCTGGTATCTATAAGTAATAAAATAGAAAACACTTTAAAGTGACAAGGTTGATGTGACTCTTTGATGAATGTTTTTAATAATTTTTATTATTCTTTATATTTAGTTAATAATCATGTTAAAAGAATATTTACCAAGAAGAAATCAAAGTATAGCTGATGTATCATCGTTATGTGAACAGTTGGAAAAATTGAATGAACCTTCACGTGAAGAAGTTGATGCCATTAGTAATATATTATTAGAAAAATTACAAATGTAAACTATTCTATTCTTTTTGTTGTTGTTGTTATTATTATTCTTTTATTTGTTGTTTAAAAAATAAAATTGCATGAAAATTATACAGCTAATTCGAAGCAATCTTAGCATATGAGTCTGTTAGAACTGTCATAACTGTGAATGAAGAAGACTTCGAACATCAAACTGTGACACATGTATACTTTTTGTTTATCGTACAATTTCGTCATATAGATTACTTACAAATGAAATATAGATCACGTACAACTTAAAGAATGTCTGAAAAATTTGTTTGACAACGCAACGAACTAATTTTTGAGTTGCTTTGTACGACAACAAATTGTTCGAGATATATCAATGTAGAAAAGAATCTGAAAAAAAGAGTAGAATTGAAGGTCTAATTTGACTCTTTTACCGTATACCAGATAATGAGAGAGTGCGCATTCCCCAAATAATTGAAAAAGTTGTTGTTGTATTTTCATTCCACTTTGGACGGCTAAAATATTCGTATTGTTCTTATCATAAACTACTATCCATTTCAATATAGAAAGTACTCGGATGTTTTCTGAATAACTTTTGATAGAAGACAGTTAGAGAGCTCCGGCTTTCGCCATGCGAAAGAAGAGACTTGGAGAAATATTTTTATAAGTGTTTTCTGAAACAGGTTTTCTAGGAGATCGTTGGAAAATAAGATTGTATTGATTTTCCTCCATAGCCTGATAGCCCAAAGTGTCTCCTTCAAAATGAGAGTTGAGCGAAACCTTGATTTTCCGCGGCTCCGATGTTGTGTCGAATGTCCTACAAGTCCCAGGGCTGGAAACTTGGGAGATTCAAAAAACATTCGAGTACTTTCTATTTTGAAATGGATAGTACTGAAGTTACATAACTTGGTACGCATTGCCTTCTCAGAAAAAACTCATATAAAAACTTTTACATATCTTTTTATTGTAGTTTTTGCTTTTGCAAATATTTTCTGCATTCAATTGATTCAAGACATTGAAACTGATACACATTCGGCTACACATGTAGCCGAATGTATTGTAAAGATAAAACGTTTTACTTCAAGAAGATAAACGGCATTAATTGCTGTGCTTAATCCTAGAGATTACTAATGCAATTATGTGAGTAAACAGTTAACTTACTTAGTTATTTGTTAGTGGATAACACATGATTGTCCAAAAAAAAAAGAATTTTGTTTTTTTGTTCATTATTTTTATATTTAATAAATAAAATGAATTTTCAACTAGTATGCATTGCATAGAGAATATAGAATCAAATTGTATAATTAACTTATTTTTAGACACAACAATAAAAAAATAAACCTATATATTTAGCAAAATTAAACTATCTAACTAACATAAAATGTAGCATTTGTAAAACTAACATTTTTTCGTTTATTATAAGCAGTGGTATTTGTTGATGAAATAATTAAGGGTTTATTTTTAACAACCTCTTTTTTCAATATTGATTTTCCATTACTAATTAATCCGTGTTCTTGATTACTATTAATATTATTGGTTTCGTTTGTCGTTGTATCAAGATCATTCGATGGTGAATGATTTGTTGATGAGGAAGAGAGAAGTGCCACTTCTTCATCAGGTGTCAATTGCCAAACCATATTGGCAAATGTACGACGTCTAGCTGCAAATAAATGTTGATTTTGAACTAATTTTTGTAATTGAGGAGAATCAATATCATAACCAAATTGATTTGCAATGGTATTTGTTAATAGTTCTTTATCGACACTGAACACGGGATTTGTAAGACGATTAGCAAAATATATTGGTTGATTACGGTTTGAACGGGCTCGACTAATGGTAGTTGGTACTGATGATGTACCAGTTTCATTATTCGCATCACCATTTTGCTGTTGTTGTTGTGTTGGATTTGACTGATTAAATAATGCTGTCCAAACGTCTGATGACATTGGTTGTAGAATGTAACCATTTTGTTGTAATAATTGTGTGACATATTGCTGAGATTGTGTATCAAAATCGGAAGATGAAGGTGATTGTTGTGCAATATATTGTTGTAATTGCTCTTGAGTAAATGTCAGAGCGTTATCAATACCATTTCGTTGAACATCTACTTGTTGCTGCTGTTGATTTTTACTCTTTCGTGTTCTTCGAGGTTTCTCCTGTGTTTGAGCACTATTATTAGTATTAGAATCGGCTGTATAGTAATAATAAGAACCATGAGGAAAATCATTTGTGGAAGCGGATATTGGCATATTGACGTATTCTTTAGTTTCGGATTTCAATGGTACATTTTCATAAATTGGTTCCATTGCAATTGTTGTTTCCATTGCTTCACTATTTTCACCATCATAGCGTATTTTATTACGCAATGGATTTGATTTTGAAGTAGTAGTAGTGTCATTATTGTTTGGATTCTTTTGTAATAATTTTATCATTTCATTTTCAATCACAAAGGGAACTTTGGCTAATAATTCTTCTTCACGAGTACCACGTAATGTTGGTGAAGGGTTATCATCGATCGAAGAAGATGTTATCGCAGTTCCATTAAATTGAGAAATATGATTAGAAGAACTATTAAAAGCGTATGTGATTGATAGTGGGGCATTATCTGTGTATGGTGGGCGTTCCATCAAGGTTTCTAAAAAAAATATGAACTGTTAGTTTATTGCACGATTGTATCTGATAGGGTGCTGCCGTTATCATGCATCGTTACTATACTGTCGTTTATTACTATTTAGTCAATGTTACTAGCACTATATCGACTAAAGCTCATAGTGGGACAGGAAAATCTGCGTCCTCTAGAACATAGTCAGTGTCTTAGGTCAATGAGATTATGCTGTAACAAATATGACTTTGATTTATAGTCACCTTCTGCATCGGAAACGGTTACTGTAGTGGTCGATGTTGTTGAACTTCCTGATGGGTTTCGTTTTGTATGTTTTTCTTTTGATGATTTTTTGTTTGTGTTTGAGTGTGTTCGTTGTCTAACACTAGTGACAATTGTTGGAACACTTTTTAATAGAAGTGGTGGAGGAGGAGGTAGTGGTGATGGTAATGGTGGTGGTTGTGGGTAATTCGTTTGTGGTGCGATGGTGGTAGATGGTTTAGTTTCGCTAATGTGTGATATTTGAAATGGACGTTTTACTACTGTTGTTTCATCTAACGATGGTGGAAGAAATTCGTCTTGATGATAAGTGGGATGGATCAGTGGACTTGTACTCATCGAACGCATTTCTATTTGTGATGTATCTCGTTCATTATTTGATTTTAGATTACTTTCGGTTTTAAGAGCAGCTATTTCTACTCGAAGTTCTTTTAATTCTTTAATCAATTCCGCTACATAGATACCTGGCAATGTCGAACTAACAGTGGTAAATGTATCTTCATTATCATTATCTGTTATATTTGTTTTTGTTAGTATTGTATCTTTTGATGTCACTTGTGATTCATTACTGGATACTGCCGATTCACTATATGTTCGAAAATTGTACAAAGTTTTTCTTGTTTGTTCTGGTGTTGTTGTGGTTGTCGGAGAAGCAGCACCGGTATCAAATTCGGATCTTGTTACAAGACGAATACTATTTGGTTTTGGAGTCGAAAGTGCGTTATGTGTATGATTTTTTATTACTTGTGTTCGTCCAATACTCGTTTCTGAGGGAGACATTATCGTCAATGTTGAACGCTTAGTCGTTGTTTTCAATTTTTCATTGCTATTACGACGTTTTGAACTGCTCGCATGTCTTGGCGCTTTTCTATTTGATGGATGATTTTTATCATTGAGCCAATTCTCAACGCGTGACGGTTTTTCAACTGATATGTTTTGTTGCGTCATTGTTGTTGTGGTTTCTGGCGGTGAATATTTAAAACGTATCATATCATTATTCCTGCTGCTATTTTTACTATGCATACTGCTACTTTTCCATGTTTTTCTACCAATTTTTAATTGACCAAAGTAGCCTCGAGCTTCTTGAATGAAATAAATATAATCTTTTCCGCGTAAACGAAATATACTAGCAGAATAGGGCATTAATGCATGGTGCGAGTGATTTCCAGTAATAACAATGCAGACATCGTTTGAGTACGGATCAACCCAATATTCGATTAATTCTGACGCTTTAAACAGCCACGATTGATTGGGATCGGGTAAATTCTCAATTATTAAACCTTCATCTTGTAATGATAGACGAACTTTTAAACCTAAAATGATAAAAAACATCTTTTAAAATCACTACATCGATTATCATTTGAAAAACATAACCACAAGAATTCTATTATTAGATTCCAATAATTATGAATGAGGGGTACTCAATATCAAATTCTTCATGAAACTGTAAAAGAAGCCAAAATGATAGCAAAAAAATGAAATTTAATATGGTTTTCTCTCAGCCCTTGTTCCGAAGTGCATGACAAACAATATTAAACTATTTTATAGGATATTTGACACGAACGGACTCATTTCCTCAAAGAACTGGATTTAGTTAAATAAATGTAGCAGAGAACTTTGATAAGTTATTCTTTTAATTTTATTATCTAATTTTTCGATATGTTGATTGATAAGAAAGTTGAATCAATAATATATCTGAATGACCTTTTTATGGTATTTTGTCATATAATATTAACTTTTAGTTACTACAGACGCGTCATACAATTATGTCATTAATTCATAATTAAATGTAAAAAAATATAATGCACAAACCTCTTGATTTTGTTCGTGATAAAACTGTTTCAAGTGTTTGTGTTAAAGTTCTTGGTTTATAATCATCAATATCTGTTCGATATAAAAAATAGGCTAAACATGCATTGGATGTTAAGATTTGTTGTTGATGTTGATGATTTTCTGGAGCAATGGAATATGTTGTTGGAGTCATTCGTGATGAATTATAAATTGGTATATTTTTCTGCATTATCTTTTTTGGTTACGAAAACACTTTACAATATAAAAATCTTCTCAATTTTTGTTTTTGCTTAAAAACAACTGATTTATCTAATTAAAAACTCATCACTCTGTAACAAATTCCGTTTAACCTAAAAAAGAGATATGATTATCTATTGACTTTGTCTTTTCTTAACTCATTTATACACGACGAGTGATGATGATCATGATTAAACAACAAGATATAAGTAATATTATTTCACCAAAGAAGCAAAAAAGAAAAATGAATATATGTGTGTGTGTGTGTGTGTTGATCTAGCTTATTTGTATATAAAGAGACAACTATATGTTTGATATATTTTATAAAAACGGATAGTGGTCACACATGAATGCTTATACTTATTTAAAAAATTTTATATTGCGACTACAACAACGAATTGTAAAGAGGCATATAAAAAAAAATGAGAGAAGGAGAGAAAAGAAATATGGACTAGAACGAGAGGATCACCGTTGTTTTAACAACCGCAACAAACTAGCATAAAAACAGATAGATGAGTAACCTTCATACAGTGGTATACTTATTCTTAGATGTAAAAATGTATATTTTTTCTACATATTTAATCAACCAATTATTTGCATAATTGATTCTTTAGACTCTAAAGAATCAATTATGCAAATAATCGAACGAGACTCTAAAGTTTAGAGTCTCGTTCGATTCGCGGCTCTTAAAATTGATATTAAAAATTGTTTGTTCTAATTTATTCCCAACTGTAATCAAATTTTTTTGTTCTAAAATAGCAATAATCGCTTTCTACAAACCATTAATCATCACTTATAAAGAAAATGATCTAATGTCAAAAACACAACAAATGCTTTATCAAATATGACAGATTAAATAAATCTTTATTATCATTTACATCAAACTACAACCCATATACCTGTCCAAAAAATGTCTTCTGTATATATATACTAATAGCTAAATGTTGACTCTTTTCTTGAATAATGATAATAATGTATTCATTAACAACCTTTCCCTGAATTGACTGTATTACAATAAGGTGAGACGTATAGAAATACCTGTAGTCACCTTGAAAATGAAATAGACAAATGATTATTAATTTCGACGCTAGACAGACACAAATATAGATCAGTCAATCACGCATGATCATTTTAGCGAAATATCGGTAATAGACTGTATGATCTATTTTCAGACAAAATAACACCGTTTCTACTCGAAAAAATAGAACTTTTGAAAAGTAGGAGAACATCATATCCTTCCCTATGCACAGGGTGCATTTTTAGCACAACGGATGAATTTTTGCAAATAAATCTTTTTTCATCAATAATAGTCGGCTTTCTAGACGTAACAAAAAATGTACAAACGAAAAATAAATCTTTTCAAATAAATGACTATCTTAAGGAGGCCAAGAATAAAAACTATTATAAAAACTTATTTTGTTAAAAATCTTTTGTTTTCTACATAGTTTGATAGTCTAATTTCGAAAATCGAGCGTTGGTTTTTGAAAATAATTAGCCGAAAAATGAGAAAAGTCAAAATTATTTGAAAAGCCGACGAATTTTCAAAAACTTATATTTCGATTTTCAGCTCCATGTACGCATAAGTCAACAAGAGTAGTAGAACAATTCGTTGTGAATACGTTTCACGGAGAAAAAGCCACATATGGATGTGTTTCCACTTTTAAGTGAAATAAGTTACTATTCCACTTAATAAGTTTACTTATTCACTTTCTGAAGTAAAAAAGTAACATTTTTTATTGGCGTTCCCATTTATAAGTGGCTTTTGTTCCTTTGTACTTTTACTCACATTTGGTCTCGATACTTTTTTATCTTGCACATTGTTTCGCGACACATAGGCTGGACCAATTTGTTGTGGGACTTCACACCTCTCATACAATTAGTCTTCAATCTTGATACAGACAGTTCATTTTTTGTCTTGATTGATCAAAAATGTTATTATCTATAATCAATAAAAAAACAGGGTCATATACAAAACGAAGCTATCGGTCTCTGATTTTTTACCGAACCGACTTTTTATATGACCTGTCTGAGGACATTAATTAATGTGATATTGGGAGATAGGATGTCAAATCACAAAGTGATAGACTTAACCGGGCAACCAGCTCTTGAAGACATTATGAGAAGAAATCGGCTTAGATGGTACATTGAATAGAAGACACAAGTGTAGAAGTTGCAATGTCATCAAATTTTTACAATATAATGTTATTTAAGAGGAGAGAAAGTCGATTTTTGATCAAAAAATCGAATTCGAATTTTTTACATTCGTGTACAGCTTAAGTAACAAATAAATCATTTGGAATTATTGATACTATTATAGAAATGTTCATACAACAACAGTATCCCATATTTTGCATAAAGAAGTGTGTGGTATGAATTTCACTATTTTACCACTTGAATTAGCTTTAATCACAATCGATTATATTCAGTAGATAGAGCTTTTGAATAGCTACAAAAATATGCCTAAATGGTTGATAAAATTTACTTTCTTAATAAGAAATAAAATAAAGTATAATCAAGAGGCATATAACACCAATTACCACTAACGAGGGAACCTTTCGAGATGATTAAACGCTTTTTGCTCGGAATCTAGTGGGTTATAGCTTATCAACCATGCTGATTATGAATATGACCATGGAGGTTGCCCTTAGTCCTACAAAGACCTGATTTTCTAGAAAATCAGTTTTTCAGAGACTCTAAAATATAACCCGAACCTTTCTTAATAAGGCATGATTGTAGTCCGCACATTTCTGATTAAAATGAGATATCTCCCATCTCTACACGACCTTTCTTTGCAAAGTTATAGAATTTATAGTTTTATTTTATTTTATGGAATCTTTTCAAAAATATAACCAGTTCTACTGAGCCGCTTTTTTTCAGCTCTTTCTATCACAAAAAGAATCGAATCAAAAACTGAATTCTAAGGCGATAGAAAGACCATTACAAAAAGGAATAAGTTTTTTACGGTTCATCCTGTAGATAACACTGCTTACTCATAAATACTTTACTCAGCGATTTTTCAGTCAATACATTTATTACAATATCAAGCCAAAGCATTTAAAGACGTGTATTCGAATTAGAATATTATAGTGTCGATTTCAAGTTCAATGCAACCAGATGACTGAATATTTTTCTTTCAATATATCGGGACGATCTGATGCCTCCGTAGATTCAGTTAGGTATTATTACCCTCTGTATTCAGGTGTCTATGTTTTGTTCAATGCATCTAATATAAATTCGAGTTTAATGCATTTAGTTTAACCACTGTCTCTCTCTGAACACAAGTAGATACGTCTGTCTTAATAAACCGTCCAATGTGAATCTGATGCTCAATATTATTAACTGCATCGATACAATACCCGTTGCATCTAGATGGTATCGACACAGTCTTAGGTAAAATCCGAGAAATCTAGTTACTTTTATTCCAATGAAAACAACGAGCCCAAACATAATCTAAGACCAGTGCTCTATATATCTGCCGTAGCCTTCGAACGAACTTCAACGACCTTTTTTCACACACTTTTCTTCAAAGAATTAGCAATTTAGTTAACAGAATAAGTCAATCAGAGTTGTTAAACAAAACACAAATTCCATTCCTTTTTATTTTGTACGCTCTCGTTTATCTTAATATGTGAGAAGTTTAATAACTCTATACTATAATAAAATCTTGAAGAAGGATTATGATGGTCAAATATATTGAAAATGAAGAATAGCATTTTCTACGTATGTAGTTGTAATTGTTGACACATCGACGAGGACATCAATTCAAGCAGACTCACGAGGAAGCATCCCCAGATGTACTCTCCCAAATACAATGATCTTTGGGCCATAGATACTATATATGGTCGTAGTAAAAAGCCTAAAAGGATTTGAGTTCATAGTGCTTCCTTCAAAAGTTATAGTTTTTTTAATTTTGCTTGTATTAGGCGCACCAACAAAATTCAGTGCTCTATAACCTCTTCAAAAAACGTACTAGCGGTCTGAAATTTTTTTCTGTGGTAGCCTTCAATAGCTAGATTGACCATCGAAAGTTTCAGCTTTCTGGCTTTTTACCTTGCCGAAATACAGAATTTTCCGAAACCGTAAAGAAATTACCATGTGTGTTTTATGTGTATTCGAAGAACTATGATTTCTTCACGAGTAATAAATCGTCGGAAAGAGTGTCTTGAAGACCTAGTGAGATGGTTCGCCGTTCAATCTGACATTGAAAAGGACACTGCCAGAGAAAACGTTGTCTCTCTGAAAAATAGAAAGACTAGAGAAGTAAAGTTAAACAAAAGGAAAATAGATATAATACTCCAAACATTTATAAAAATACATATGGTAGTTTCCTTACGGTTTCAGAAAATCCTGTATTTGGGCAAGGAGAAAAGCTAGAAAGCTGAAACTTTCTATGATCTATCTAGCTATCGGAAGCTACCATAGAAAAAAATTTTGAAGAAGTTATAGAACTTTTAATTTTGTTGGTGCACCTAATATAAGCAGAATTAAAAAAGCTATAACTTTTGAAGGAAGCACTATGAACTCAAATCCTTTTAGGCTTTTTACTACGACCATATATAGTATCTATGGCCCAAAGATCATTGAACTTGGGAGAGTACATCTGAGGATGTCCCCTCATCAGCTCGCTGGACCGATACAAATCCAATATATCAAGATAAGTCAATTTTTTTTCTACTTTTTTAACTAAATGTTGAATCAATTTAGATTGAAAAAATCGGTTCTTGTATTAACGAATGGCACGACAGATGTCAATTTAGATGCTATTATAAGTATACTGGCAATACATCAACATAAGCATTGATTTGCTTGACCACTTTCGCTTCAATTTGTTTACACTTTTACGTAGATATTGTTGCTGGAGTATTGGGAACGTAGCAAGAACATCTAAAATTTTCAATTTCTGCTTGGGTAGTATCACAGTCTTACTCATTGTTCACTTATTATTTTCAAAAACATGTGACTGTTTCTCTGATTAGACGCATCCATCAATGC